TAGCAAGGCGTAGAAAAGCCTTTATTTTTATATTTTTAATAGTAATTACTTACTCTTATAATTTTCTTTTATAATATTTGTTTTCAATAATTTATTGTTTCTTTTAATGGTGTGGTAAATTCTGAATCTAACATAAAGTTATTTCAAGTAATCTAACAGGAAACAGTCACATGGCATATCAAATTTACAATCTTTAATAGGTTTATGTATTTCATTGCTAACATTAACAATACATATTTATTTCAAGATCGAAATATTCGCGAAACTTTTACTCGAGTAATTCAACAAATGCCATAAAATTATCAGCAGGTATAATTAAAAAACCCAATTTTACGTTACCATAATACAGCATTAGGTTATATGTATCATATTATTGTATTATCACTGAAGTTACGGTATACAAAATTTCAACTCAATCAGACATCGCCGCGTACGCGACAAGCGACCAGTGGTCATGTATACATGCCATGATGGCAACTTCAGATGTTATTTTTAGGTCTTCTAATTAAGAGAAAGTATTTTTGAAAGAGGAAGTATATTAAATCGTAAATGAATACTTTATTCACTATTTACCATTACTACCATTTCATATTATGAACATATTTTAATAGAATGTAGCGTAATGAAATAAAAAAGCAGATTAAACGAGCAGGGGTATTTGGTCGTAAATATGACGAAATAGCTACGAAAATATTTGTCGGATTAATCCGGCGTAAGCGGTTAAAGGGTTGCAGTGCTTTCACGCACAATGCGACTCGTTTTTGGTCATTTTTGCAACGCGAATTTAGTCATGTACCTATATAACCAAAGGGCCCAACATATACAATATATTATAATTTTTTAATCAATCCCAGAGGCAAACTGCAACAAATCTTAAATTTTGTCGTAAAATTTCTTGGACTTGTTACTTGTTGAAAGTTTCGAAGCATTTCACTTTGTAAATGCCTTTTTTTCGGTGCAAACGCACAATAAGATTACACATCTTAAGTAAAGTGGACCTTATTCCCCGATAATATTTGGTTTCCATTGACATACATCTTAAAAGTCGCTTACAACGTTTATGCCTTCGTGATTGTCACTAGTCGCCAGGGAAGTTTTTGTAATAAAGTGCAATGCAAATTGTATAATCAATATTACGATAGTGACCACGCCCACCGCAGTTCATTTGCGTGGAGTCATATTCTAGAGCTAGGACTGAGTTTTTTTTGTGTACACTGAGTTGCAATATATTATGATATGTGTGTTGGTAAAATTTCTCATCTGCATTAAAATATCTATATACTTACAATAAAAAATCTTTCAGGTGGATCCAGTGGTGCAACAGAAGCGAATATTGATGAATATATGGAGAAATTACAAACATTAGCCACGGAAAACAAAAATAACGCATTTGTAAAACAAGCCCGTGATATTTTAAACAGAGTGGATCTGCCTATTACATAAGTGTATTTAATTTAAATATCATTATATATTTAACGAAATATTATGTTGTTTTAATAGGTTATCCCTTTTTTTATAGTTTGCTTGTAGTTATAGTTTTTTCATACTTTTTATAGTAGTATTTAAAAAGTAGTAGTTAGTATGAAAACAGGACAAATTCAGTACAAACGACGTTTGCGATTATGGGCTTTGCTGATAAGAGTTGACATCTGGACAGTCACCAAGCTCCATAGATCATTAAATTGTATAAAAAATTATAATGTAATATAGTTTTTTCGAAAGTGGCTTGTAATGGTTTCTGTCGTTGCGACACAACATTCAAGCGTTTCGAGCGCCTTCTTTAGTTACTTAGTAACAGAAATGTTTATTTCAAATTTTGCCAAGTTCAGGAGTAACAGTAAGTACACGTAAAAAATTTAATGATTAACATAATAATGTCTTCCAGCTGGAATTTCGATCCCGACGGCTGTGTCAACGGAAACTAGCCATCTGGCCAGGACAGGATTATACTGCAGGAGTGTGAGTGCAAGAACAGTTGTTTTTTAAGGTACCTGCGGGTAATAAGGTCTGTCGACTAATAAGGCCTAAGTAACAAAAGTCGTATTTGTCGTAACCGCTCTCGCTCAAGGAGATAACAACAGACTCCTATTACACGATAATGCCTCTACAAGTTTACAGAGACGCGCTATCCCGTGTCCTGCCACCAGAGTTGTATTATTTATCATAAGATACGTCGGCACTGGACCAATAATAAAAATCAGTCTAAATAAATCTTAGATATGTTTTGTTATATTACACTTAGCTATCTAAAGTCGCAATCTTTATCTGTGTGAATAAATGCTTTGTTGATCTTAAAGATTTGAATAACGTATTGTCGTATTTTTTTTAAATATGGTTTTTCTTCTTCAGTATTTAACTTGGTCGGCGGTTATTAAGGCCTACTAAATTTCACCAAAGGCCTTATTATACTCCCTCTCCGTGTGTGGTTTTTTGTTTTATAGTGTATTTTATATCACTTTAAAAATATTGTAAATGCAAATAAAATGTGCGCTTTTATTACTAAACTAATATCGTAGTCAGAAAACGACCTGGTTTCAGCTGTAGAATCAATGCAAAGATGAAGTGTGTCGAAGAATTAAGGCTTTGACATTAGAAGCTACTAAATTATGTGTAAATTATTCGTCCTGCGCCTAAGCTCTCTCGGACCGTGTTGGATTGCGATTTGATGATTGTGAGGGAATAGAGAGTGCACCTGTGCTTGCCCATTCAGATTCAGAGACTATAATTCTCTACTGTGCAGATAGGTTAGTCTCCGTAGAGACTGGCCGCTGTGACGAAAATTCGGTTGAGAGAATACTCAACCCAACAATCAATCCAACTCTCAATTCAAACTAACACTCATATAACTCGATTACTCTAGACACAACCGAAGCACTGATGATAATCACGGGGAGTGCATTGTTTGTCAGTTTGTTAATGATTATAATAAAGACTTCACTAAGTGCTGTTAGACGAGGAAGATTATATTTTTTTAGAAATTTATGTCGTAATTGCAGTATTTTTGTAATTACTAATCACAAATATTAAATATATTACGTATATTTTGATAATTTGAGTTCGTTAAATCAGTAGGTGTTATTATCCAACCACAGTAAAATAAGGCCTACTGGCAAAGTTTTTAGAAATGTTTAATTTTGTTTTTCTTTTTGGCAAATGTTACAATTTTTCGTTCATGCTTTTTAGAAACTGTACTAATCCAACAATTTTTATTAAAATATGTAGACCAAATTGGATATTTTTTACGTTTCATTCAAATGTCCCTTAGATAGGCCTTATTACCCGCAGATACCTTATATTCCCTTACTATTATCACGGAAAGAAACCATTCGCAGGACCAACGGTCAACTTCTTGACAGAAAAAACGTAATGACTGATTTCGGCCTCACCAGAGATTTAAACCCGAGACCACATAATTATTAATAACCCGACTGACTACAACACCACCTATCGGGTCCAGATTTTGTAATTTTCTTTTTTGACACTAAATATTTTGTGACTATGAGTCGTTATGGTTTATAACAAATTGCATTTGTTAATAACTTGTCTACAACACCACCTATTGATTCCTAACATTTTTTACGTGATAGAGCCATGCTGCAGTTATATTAGTAGTACAGTTGTAGCACGAATGAGTCCGCTCGACGGGGGAAGGACCACGCTCTCACAGAATACTAGCATCAAATAGTAGTAATTACAATTCGAATGCGTTGTCACCTCTGAGGACTAAGATGAAATGCCTTGTATCCAGGAAAAAAGATTTCCCGTTCTCGACACACAACATACGAAACACAACAGTATGCAGCTGCTATTTTACGCTGGTATTCTGTGTGAGCGTGGTCTTTCTCCGATCGAGCTGACCTATTCGTGCTACAACCCTAGTATAGCTATAACTTGGCTCTACCACATATAAAATTTCCCAAAAACACGTCGTTGAATACCGACAGAAACTCGTGTCTAAACTCAAGCCTTTGTTAAAGAAAGTTTCAAATATCAAAATGCAACTAATTCTAGATCAGTTTAACCTTCGCTTAACGCTTAAAATAACCCCTTTGTCGTATCTCGTTAATCTTCTTGCTGCCTCAGACAGGCGTAGTAGTAGTAAAACACACTAATAATAAAACACAATTGTACTACTGATCACTTTAGTTCGCAGTTATATCGCTGCCAAGTGTTGACGCTACATATATGTTACGAGGTCATAACCTGTGGTAGAACAGAGGAGCGCGCGGGAAATTTGAAATAGTTTACAAGTTATTTTATAATTTGATATTATTCATTGAGCAGATTGAAAAGGCAAGCCTGGGTTTCGGCTTGTATGGAGGCTTCGCCACTGATGAATCCTAATATTTTTAGTATTTATTGTGTCATTAGATTATCAAAAAAAGCCGAACACTAAAAATGCTACTTAATTTAAATTAAACTTTAGTTAAATACATTCGATGAACTTAAAGAGTAAAATTATAAAAATTGATTTTCCTTTAAAAGGGCAATGCGGAGCGTACCTTAAAAAAACAAACCCTTGCACGACTGCAGGCTGTAAGTGCGGGCGGCACCCTTTAAATTAACTATATAATCTAATTTAAATATTATAATTCATTCATTACAATTTGTGTCTATTAGGGGAGAAGGAGGTAAGACGGGGTAACGGGTAAGACGGGGTACCCAGCGAAATTCACAGTTAAATTTGACCAATCACGCTCGTTCATTCATTGTTCTACGCGCCGCCGTGGTACTTGTCAGTCGCCCGGTGGTTAGTAGTTCACAAGAGCACAGTGCCGAAAAAAATTCTAAAAAAGTGTTTTACTGCAAATTGCTTATCATATTTTCTTTTGGTTTGACACGCAACTTTGGTTTGTTAAATAACGTTAGTTAAGATTATTGGCTGTTTTTTCTTTTTTGTTTTTCTTTTATAAAATGGCTCTGCAGGCAATATGGGGTAACGGGGTACCCCATCTTGCCCCCAATGAGAATAATTTTGTTCATGTTTGTTTTCCGTAAAAATGAGTATGTTTTTTGTTCAAGCAGCCACTATATCTACAGTAGTAAATGGAATTTGTAAATGTGGGATTTGGTCCTATAATCCAAACGTAAACAGATTTTGCCCCTTCTTTGACAACCGAGATCCAGTTAAATGACGGTCAAACTTGCACAAACCGAGAAGTATTTCAAGATATAAGCAATGTCACTTCTGTTCAAACTTCAGATACAGTAGCTGCACAAAGAACTGATAATGCTGCGACTTTTAGCAGAGACGATGTTGATGACTCTTTGCCGGAGTATTCCCACTGGCATCCCAGGCTAGTTAATCCGGAATCAGCACCGTATCAAACTAAAGACAACCCGGAGACATCAGAAGCAGAACAAAATCAATCCGACCAGCAGACGCACTCACTAAAACCAGCTGAAAACCCTGTTTGTCAGGAACCAGAGACATCACAACCAGCTAATGCGCCCACATGCGATAAAAGCGACAGTAGCTTTGTTTTGACTTCTCCAAACAACTCTTTCCACATCTATTTACTAAAACATCCTCTCGTGTTGTCAAAAAGCGTGGAAAAACGGCAATTATCACGTCGTCTCCCTACAAATAAGAATAAGAAGTCATCGACCAGAAAAAAAGATGCTGAGCAGAAAAAAAAGACAGAGAAAATAGAAACAAAAAAGAGAAAAGATGAATTTAAAAAAAAGCAGAAGAAAACTACTACAAAAGCTCAAAATAAAAAATCACATATATATAAATATAATAGCTCATCAGCGAAAACAGCAAAACGACGAAGAGTCTCATCATCTGGAGATGAAAGTGAAGAAAAGGGGACACACTATGTATGTATTGTGAGGAAGTATATTCCGTTTCAATTGAAGGGAGGACATCATGCTCATTATGTGCAAGATGGGCTCATAATAGCTGCGCAGGAATAGGTGATGATGATGACGAAGCCACCCATGTCTGCGAGTTCTGCCGGCTCAAATAATCATCTTTCTCTCTGATCATTCTCATCACCCCATCTTACCTCAGAGGGGTACCCATCTTACCAGCACCATGGGGAAGACGGGGCAAAACACCTTTTTTTATTTTAATTTTTTTCTCTCAAATGTGTTACCAAAAGTTCTTAATGACACCAAATATTAGAATAATAATAATTAGTTGTTAATTAAAAAATAAATATGATTATTTCACTATGTAATTTTTTATATTATTGACCTTTAAAGCTTAAGTACCCCATCTTGCCACCCTATCCCCTATATATTAACAAGTTAAGGGTTGTAGAGTTAACTTAGGAGTAGATAGAGATTCCATTTTAATTATTTTTACTGTTTTTTTAACAGAATTAAGATGACAAATGAGACAAAGTATACCTGGTGGTTAATGGACACTGTGGCTCATAGAAATCTAAATTCAACCTCGATTAAGAATCAAAATGCAGATACGTTGTCACCTCTCAGGACTAAGAAGGTATCGTCTCACTTACAGTGAAAACAGTTACAGTAAATGAAGCAAGTTAGGTCCTTAATATTTAATTAAAATAAATCCTAATACAATCATGACTTCGAGAAACTTAACTTTTATAATCATACTTGGTGAAGGGAATGCTAATACTTCCTGCTTAATTTATTCCACTAATAAGGCTAAGCCAAGCATCACCAGTGATCACACTTGCCCTGTCTGAAACTTCTCAAGCTCATACTGTATGAAAATGTTTTTTGGAAATCCTCTTTATTTTTGCTTCACGGGTGCATAACATGTAACTTCTTATTTAGTTGGATCAAATAATAACATATATATATAATGAATTATGTAAATTATGCATGTAATGTGTCAGGTAATATTCAACTTTACTGTATGCTTAAAAATATAAATTTCCTTTAAATATGCTGAGTTTTATAAAGTAAACAGTTGTTTCAATTTAATTATGAAATTATAAAAAGATTGGAGAATAACGAAATACAACATTTTAAAGAAGCCATACTACTGTATGGCTTCTTTAAAACATTGTATCTTTAACATTAAAAAAAGGTAATTAATGTTTTAAGATATTTAGGATAATTGAGATTAGCTGATACATAAATTAAGTTAGAGAGTTTTTTGAGCTTACATGTGAAGAATAAAAACATAGAAAACAAAACAATAAATCTTTCTAAATGGTTACTACATAACTAGTTGTACAATGATTTTACTGTATATATTATATATACAGAATGGGTCCCACATGTATGCAATAAATGAAACCACAAGTAATACTAGTCCGTAGAAGTGTAGAAAAATTAAATATTAAATTAAAACCCATAAAATAAAAAAGAGAAATTTTCAAACAAAATAAATATTAAAATAAATTCAGTAAAAGTGAACACTCTGTTTAGACAACGTACCTTGACCCCTTGGAAGAGTGACAACGTTGCACGCGGGTGGCACGCCGACAAAAGACACCGCTGTCGATATGTCGCAATACCAATAGTTTGCACTGCGTGGCAACGTCGCTTTTTAATGTTCAAGGATTCAAGTTCATTGAATCATTGACTTAGTGACCCAGTTCTATAGAGTGTTCAAATTTGCTTAAAATTAAAACTCTACTTTTTGACCTAATTACTGGACCGATTACGTTCATTTTTTGTATATCGTCAGCAAAGGCGATAACAAGTATATGGTTTCATTTATTGCATATATGTGGGACCCATTCTGTATATATATATATATATATATATATATATATATATATATATATATATATATATATATATATATATATATATATTATATAATTATTTAAACCTACATCCAAATAAGTACCAGAAATATCTCCAACTCTCCATCAACATCAAGTTATCATAATTAGACAAAAAAGTGCATTTACCTTATTGGTACAAGTATAAAAAATATTATAAATCATTTACAATGAAAACAATATTTTGTTTGACAATGCCTTTAGTATTAGTTTTAGGCATATTAGACATAATATGTCACAATACTTCTGTTCTATAACAATACCGTAAAATGGGGTGAATAGAAATCGCGGGGTGAATAGAAACAAGTCTAGTTATTTGATAAAGTTTTCTCTAGGTTTTTCAAGATTGCCGAAATAAAGAAAAAATGTTAGCATATAATAAGCAATAGAAATAAACACACATCTTGATCTGTATAAAAACCTGGAGACAACTAAATTAAATAAACAGACTTGTTTCTATTCACCCCGTGGATTCTATTCACCCTATTTTACTGATACATAATACGTATAAAAGGCTATAAATTTTTTTATTAGTCTATAACTTATATACATATTTAAGATTAATTTTAACTTGCATTGGATTCCTCGTCAGATTCTGGTTCATCCTTGCAGTTAACATTAGTATTTGGATCATATTGGTGCAACTTGATCCTCCATATTTTGATTAATGCATCCCATGACCTACGGCTGTATTTGCTATATTTATCTGGAGTTTTAGGATCATCTTTAGTGCGCTTGTCACTGAAATATAAAGTTTATTAGAATAAATACAAAAAGTAGCTTAAGTTTACCAATGTAAAGGTACAAATGACACTTACATAGGTACATCTTTAATATAATTATGATATCCTACAGTATTTTTTCCATAATCAATCTGTTTCTGGCGTCTTTGCAATACTGTAGGATCTGTTTCAACGTCGGCTAGTTTGCTTGGTTTGCTGTAATAAAGTTTGTAAATAAATAGGTTGTAAAGCTAAACTATAAATAAATAATACTTATTGATAATGTATATATTACATGATTTTTATTATTTTATTGCTTAAATTGATTACTCTTACTGGTACTCCTGTTAATTTATTTAATTGATGAAGGTTTCATATAAAATCTTTCTATTTTTTTTAAGAATGAAGGAAGCATAATTCATCCATAGTGGTCCAAGGTATTTTTGACAAACTAATTGAACTAGCTAATTAAGAAGTAAATTATATGTATCACAATTTCCCACCACATAATATTATGTCAGCAATATTGTTTAATGTTCACTATGAAAAATTACACTTAAAACTTAGATATATTAATGCACAAAAATATTACAAATACACCCAAATACCAGTCACTATAACACTAGGACTTATAGATCCCACTTTTATGTGGAACTAATAACAAAAAAGAATTTTGTGTTAGTTGCTTAGAATGTTGTAAAATGCAACTAATGGGTATTAGGTTTGTGATTATGGAGGCAATGGGATAACCATCTATCAATTCTTCACAGTTTTCTACTATTTTATACTGCCTAGCTTCATAGAAATTACAAGAATGACACGAAGTAATATATAGTCTTTCAAAAATATACACATAAAAATCTTGATGATTTTTTGTGTTTAGACTTACATTTTTCGTTCAAAAATGATCAATGCTAATGTAATTCACTGCAGCCAGACTTCTATGTAGGTACACTACTAGACAGACTCTGCAGCCTTAATTATTTGCGCACTAAGTTACAGTCAATTCTCCGTAACTCCTTTAGTCGACTTCGAGCGGATGAGACAAATGTTTTTGACAATCTAACACAATTTTTATTAATGTGACTAAAAAAACATTGTCACACACTTTTTCAACACTTTTTCAACGTGATTTGAACTTCATTTCAGACAAGTATATAACGTTATTTCGTATTTGCCTAAAACATAACTGTCGTAAATGACAAGTTATAAAATAAAAAAAATTGCACAAGTGACTTCAATATAAATAAAATGAGAACACTGTCAATGCAGTTGAAGTCAATTAAATATTTTTAAGGATATCTCATACATATATAATGCCACAAAGCAATGTTCTGGGCCATTTGCATCCATCGAAAATTCTTACCATTTCATCACATCATCTAATGGGGAGATCCGACCAAGTAGTTTTTGAGTTATCCTTAATAATGCGTATTTAATTGACTTCAACAACATTGATGATGTTCTCCTTTTTATTTGTATTGAAGTCGGCTGTACAAAATTTTTCATTTTACCACTTGTTTGAAGTCTGTTGAAATACAACTGCATAGCATATTTATCCCAGCCCACAGCTGTGACAGTTTTTGTTCCGAATTGCCAGTCTAGTAGTATATGTAGAAGTCTTTGACCATAGCTGTTATAAAATGTAATGCTAATAAAAGAAAAATTATAATTCTTTTGGGATCAGCAATAAATAACTGTATAATATTGTCTTTAAACACATGCCGACAAATTTAAAAACTTTTTTGCCCAAATGTCACATGGGGTTAAAACTGCAACTCAATAGTCAGTCACTCACTAGAAATATCACCAGACTTGTTCCCCAGATATTGAAAGTTTTATTTACATAAACAAAGACAAAAGTAAATAATAAACCAAAAAATAGCCGGTAAATGTAGGGTGCCTTCCCCATTAGATGGTGTGACGAAATGGTAAGAAATATCGATGGATGCAAATGGCTCAGAACCTTGCTTTGTGGCATTATATATGTATTAAAAGGGCTCCAGTTTTTGTTTACTATCAGGTGAGCCAAATGCTTGTTTGCCTCCTCTTCTATATAAAAAATACAGTGTAAGGGAACTAACCTTGGCATGCCATCTTCATTTTTGCTATTAGGTTTAAATTTTTTTCTGCTACTGGAATTTTCTCTGCTATCTGATATCATTTTTCCTTTTGTTGCTTTTCGTACTGTAAGAAGATAATAAATAAAATTCATGATGCGCGTAATAAGTAGATTTGGTGTAGCTAAAGGATTATATAGTAGATAAGGACTATTAGGACTACAAGACTATTTATTAACACCTAAATTTCAATATTTTATGACCTTTAACAAATTATCATCTACTATTTTAATAATTAACAAAGAACTTAATAAAAATTGGCATAATTACAACATTATATTTTAAGAAACATATTTAGACTTAGGTCCGGTTTACATTTTGAAAAGTGACAAGTGCGAGTGGCAAGTGCAACTGAC